CAGAAATTCCCTACCATTTGGGTTTGTTTATTTTTGTTTATTATCTTTTTCCTCAAAAAAAATCCACATAGTGCTCCCAGCGAAGCCAACACGGCACTTACTTGATGCTTCCGTCGCTATTATCTGTAGTGGATTTAGTGAGGGGAGCCAAGATACTGCCGGGGATCCATCCTTCAGCAGCCGGGGAGTGGTCGTTTGCAGGCTGGTACACCAGGAACATGTTCTGCTGGTTGATAGCAAGGATCTGAACCACCTCTCCTTGATTCACACAGATCTCGTCCTCCTTCAGTGCATAGTAATCTTTAATCACCACCATGGAAGAGGTCCCATTGCACCCTCCCAAATCAGTCTGTGAAAACGGACACAACAGAAAGTGTTGAGCAGGCAGTGCTGAGGAACCTGACTTTTCCAGCAGCAATCCTACTACTTCATTCCCAGCCTAACTGTACCAGGAGAAAAAAGATACAAACCACTTAAAGTTCACATGGGTACGTAAGGATTTTCAGGGTCTGAAAGGTGGCAGTTGTGTGATACAAACCAGACTCCTATTTCGTATTAGACTTCACAGCTGCTAGCCATGGTGCCCCAGCCTTATTCTCATTTGTGAGGTGTAACAGATGAATGACCTGTGCTGAGCCAAATGGGGGCAAATACTGGCAAAGGCTCAACATTAGAATGCTCTCACATCATGATCTTAAATACAAGTCATATTGGAAGGTGGCTTGGGTCAACCACAGCCAGCAGCAGGGCCCAAACACCACTGATGGTTACTGACCCTTTGGTGGTTTGTGTGCAGTGCACATGCACTCAGAAGATAACCTCCAATGGGCACCCTGGGAGGTCTTATGTGGGAGAAGGTCTAAACTCTTCCACACCATCAGAGCAGACCTCTTCAGGAACTGGTAGATAATGGATATTAGAGAAACCTGAATACTGCTGCTGCCAGTACTGCAAATGGATATTCAGTTCACCAGGTCTGCAAACACAGTGCCCCGACAAACACTGGGATCAGTGCTCCAGTTCCAGGGCCAGGGTCTGTCTCCTTTTCCCAGTTGGCTGAGGTGGCATCCGACCGGATGCTAGAGCTTTCACAGTCTCTCCTTAATCCCAAATCACATTTTCACCATTGCTTCCGTATGTTGATGCCTGTTGACCTGGTTAGCTGGTAAAGAAAGCTAACTTCACAGATGATCTATGATAGAAGAAATGGGCAATGAGATCATGTTTTATCAGATGAGCTCAATACCTTGCTTTGTTCAAACTTGTCTCCGGGCTGTGAATGTTCATACCCTGTGCTGCCATTGGAGGTAGATATCTTCAGGGGTGGGAGAGATGGGTTACGGCTTGTAGCCTTCAAAGGCTTCTCAGACCCTACTGGAACAGAAGAATAGGGTCTGCTGTTGGGCTGAGGGACCCTACTGGTCTGGGGCCTCAGCACTGCTGAGCTACTTTCTTTGCGCTGGTACTCTATGGGAGACTGCAGGGCTGCAAAAGAGGACAAGAATTAGCTGTACGCTTTCAATGAGAAAAGCTGTGGAGAGAGCGTGGGGTGATTCAATCAGAAAAGACATATAAGTTGCAAACCAAACAGGAACAGGACGTGCCACCCATGGAAGCACATGGCAAATTCATGGCTACAGAAGACACAAGCACGTTCTGTTGTGCTGCGTGTGAACTGAGCACAGCACTCCATGCTACTGCAAAGAGCAGCTTCTCTCACCCACACAGTGGGCTAGAGATATTGCCATTTAGACCACACATAATTGCATTCATGATTGCACAAATTAATCACATCCTGTAGTCCAAGTAAATGAAAGCCGGAATAAGAGACGCAGAGCTCATTTACAGTGAATTTTGCTATCACCAGAAAACACAGGTCAAAACCCACAAGTCCCATTTGCGTATTCCCAGGAGAGCGTGACTACCAAACACTCTCCAGACGTGAGGCACTGCAGCCTGGCTCTCTACGTGCTCTCTGTATTAACTACTTCGGTTCAAGGAAACTCCTGGAAATTACCAGCAAGTGAGGATGGCATGAAGATGTGAATCCCAGCAGTTCAGACCTCTCCAGAAAACACCCACAAGCAACATTAAACAGCTTCATAAGCCTTAGAAAAAAAGTGTACTTGTGAGAGTGCACATTTCATAGTCATGGAGAGGGCTTACACTGGGAAAAGGAAGGGTAAAAATGCCAGATGGCAAAGAAATACAGGTTTTATTATGTTTGGAGGAGAAAGGATCAGGGCTGGGACTCAGTGAATGGAAAAGGAATAGATTTGCTAGGCTCAGACTACCATCCCCAGACCTATGGGTTTGGGTTTTCGTATGTCATGTGGCTTTAATGGATGACTTATAGTCAGTTAATACTGTGTACATGCACCAGACTAAACCTACTGGAATGCAGAGAGACTAGTCTAGCAAGAGGCAGACAGAGGACGTAATGTCACAGCATCAGCCCAACCAGGGAACCACAACAGAAGGAATGTCTTTCCCAACAAGTCGAAAAGGAAAGAAAAACAGAAAGGCTCAGGACCACAGAACATAGTCTCTAGCATTCCCCTTCCAGAGAATGGCAGGACAACAACAAGAAATCACTTAATACTAAAGAACAAGAGACTAATAAAAACCCAACCAACCAACCAACACAACAACAAGAAGAAAAAAACAACACAAAAAATCAAAGCAAGATGCCAGACCACTTTTTTCTTCAAAAGGACACAAACATAGACCTGTAGCAACCTGGAAGATTATTACTTGGCTCTAAAGCCTAGACAGTGCCCTTTGTCACAGTAGTGCTTCATGTTTATGCCAGTGACTACCAGTTTCACTTGCTTACCTCAACTGCAGCTGAAAATGGCTTGGTCCTGCTGCAGATGAGCCATAGAGGAGAAGGAAGGTTGGGGAGAACTTTGACAATGACGGTAACATTATTCTAGCATATACAGCAGATTAGGCTGCAAGGTCTGTAGCACTAAGATCTGAATGAATACTTATCAGTCTATCTCAAAACAATCTATCCTACTCAGTACTTTTAAAGCGTATTTAGTTGAGTGTCCACTTGTGACCACTAATTCCACCATTAACTATCACAGCAATGCCTGGCTTCCAGCCTCCTATTCAACATCTGTTAGTATTCTTACAAGCTTCTGGCAAAAATCAGTGTCCACGTACTTGAGTGCTCTCTCCCTCAAAAACAACCCACAAAACATGACTAAAACAAAGGTACAGATCAATGGCACTTTCCTTATTAAATATATCCACCAGTGACATAATTTCTTTACAACTTGCTTCTTAAAGCAAAACAAAAGAACAGTCCTTATAGCAAATAATTTGTTGCACAGCTTCTTTCTCAAGCATAGCAGCTTTTGCTTTTCCAAAGAAAAATACAAAGACCTTGAATATTACAGTGTAATTGTACCAAGTTTTGAAGTTACAAACTGTGGATGCAAATGCTATGCTTTGTAAGTAGCCCTGTACTCTTTAGAGCTTCCCTCTTGAAGAGGGAAAACCAGAGACAGCTTGGGCATGAATTCCCAGGGAATATTTTGTTATTAAGTTTACGCAGCATTGGCTCAGTGTGGATTTAATATGATTTTAAAGACAGAAAACATCCGCTTTAATGAAATGCAAAGCTAAAGAATGTCCTTAAAGATTAGTCAGCCTCAATAAGATTACATCCTAAAAGCCACTTAAATTGTTCTGGACTGGACAGGGTCTACTGGGTGCAATATAATTTCCTTGGATCTTATTTATAGGTTTAAAGTAAATCCTTAAGCTTGTGTTTTAATATAACTCTATTTTTACTTCTAGCTTTAGAGACACTGCCGATTATGTTCCTAACCCACCAAATTCCTGCCTGGCCTCACAGAAGATAAGTTAAATAGGGGCTATGAAGACACTTCAGTAGAAAAACAGGATCACAGGGTAGTGAAGAATAGGAGTGAACATATTAAAAAAATAAAACAATGAGTAATAAAGATATGGAAGGGACAGAAACCCCCCACAGTAGTGTCTGTGGAGTTCTTAAAAGGTTTAAAAAAAAAAAAAAAAAGCTGTAGCTAACCATTAGTGGAACTTATTTTTATTCCAGTAATCCCTCATTCAAAGCCAACTGCACTGACACAAAACTGGCAAGTTTTGGTACCAACTGGTCAAACTGGAGAACTTAAGATTGCTCATCTCACCGATGTACTTAAGGAATCATGTTACAGTGGTTGTATGAGGCCCTGTCTATTCCAAGCCATGAAAACCCTGTATCAAGTTTTGAAATCACAGGTGAAACACTACTTCCCTTCTTAGCTCAACCATAGTTTTCAAACTGTCAAAAACAGCTTGTGCATGTAACCTTTTCCCAGCTAACTTCTGAAAATTAAAACCAAGCTTAATTAAAATTTTAAAAATCTCCACGTTAAATAGAAGGGAACCTTTGTTTTTATGTGAATTTGAAAGAGCCTCTTCAAATTTTGCAACTAAAAATCCACAAAACAGAACATCAAAACCCAAAACCAAAAAAAAGTTAACAGGTTGTGCCAGGCCAAAACATTTTGATTCAAATAAATAAGTTTCATTATTGAGCATCTATTAAATTTTTAAATATAGAACTCTTCTCTCATATAAGCTCCTTTGAGCTGTTTGGAAATGAATAGTGCAAAGCAATTTTGGAAGCATCCAAAGTAATGATTCGCACTTTGTTCCTTCCCAACAAAAGCGGTAACACATTTTTCCTCTAGTCCTGGGGTTCCTCCTCATTCTCTCCTCCAGTCATGATCAGGAACAAGCTAAGATTGTGAACTGAATTTGATTCCTCTGTCTTCAAAAAAACACATTCTGTTGAGAGCCCTACAAACCTCCAGCATTTTTAAGTGATCTTGCACAAAAGTACCACCAAAGGCACTTCACTAATGGAGGGACTTGAGACCTGAACCTGAACCTCACTGATACACGCACGGCAGCTGCACAGGGACCCACCACCTACTTGAGCAGGGAGCCAGCAGACTGCCAAAATGAGTCCATTAAATGCTGCTAGTAGAGCCAGGCCAGAGTGACTTGAAGTCTTTAATGCAAGGTGGGGCTCCAGCAGCTTCTCAGGGTGAGCTCCAGAGCCACACAGCAGTTCAGATCAGGTTTGCCTGATCCTTCTTGCATTCTTCACCTTCCCACCGTGCAGAACTGGCATGCAGGACATAGACCTCTGCACAGTGGCACTGAGGTGGTCTCTTTTCAAAGACCAGCTGTAAATTATGAGGACTCTTTCCCATTTACTCTGTGGACACCACTTGACCTGGTGCTCAACAACAGGCAGTCTAGGCTTAAGGTTTTCCCCTTGGTTTTTTCCTTATGAAAAGAAGCTGCCGAATGTTTTTCTCATAGAGGAAACAAAGACACAAAGATTCTAAATTCCATTTAGTGTCACAGTTTGGGAAACAGAGCAAAGACCATGTACATACCATTTAGGAAATCTCTTTGTGTGTCCAGGACCTGGTTGATGTCTTGTACCCAAGCTTGCTGAATTTCTGGATTAGCTGCCTGTAAAATGACTCTCTCTGATGTTTCCCGGCTCATTAGAGCAAACTTGCAGGGATCATTGTCCACATTTTCTTCAATGATAAGGTAGTTCATCTGAAACAAGCCAAGGTAACCACGTGTTACATGGAGCACGAGTTAACCTTATTCAAGAATCAGAATAGACCTGTTGTGAAAAGTTCCTGAATATAAAACTGAGTCCAATAACAGACTGTCAGATCTCAATCAGAAGAATTTGCCTCATCTAGATTTAGGCAGATAAATCTCAAGCTTAAATATGATGCTTAATAAAGCTCTGACAGATGTACCATACATCCACCTGCCTTGCCTTGTCTTGAATCACAACTTCTATTTTAAAGTAACATAGACTTGACTGATGTGCTAAAAATTTGCTGTAACATGTAAATAGGGTTTAAATGGTCTTATTAAGATGTTAATAAAGCCTATCATTCCTCCAGTTTAAATGTGTTTAAATTTCTTATCCCTCATGGGAAGGAAATTCTTAGTCATTAGTGTATTTTAAAAATGGAATGGAATATGCACAGGGATATAAAAAAAAAAAAAAAAAAAGGCAATTCTCCCCTGATGTTCCAACAGATCATCTTATTTCTAGCAGATTACAGTCATCTATGTGCAGTCCTTTCACTTGACTGTAGTCACAGATACTCTTTCTGGAAATCTCATGGATGACCATCTTGCCTGCTGTCCTGCATAACCTTTCAAAAAAAGAGAGGGAGTCTTCATGTCAAAAGTAGACAGTTCCAAAGACTAAGGTAATAATGTTCCTCTAGAAGTCTGTCTAAAACTGCTCTGAATATCAAGGTCCACTCCACATCTGAATACTGTCCAGCATTCCAACTGCAAGATGGAAGGAGCCTCTTCCTTCTCTTCTGGTGGTTCCTGTGAAGTTAGAGGGATATGCAGGAACATCTCTGACACGGGGACTAGAAAAGGGACAGACAGAGAGCCCGGACAGTGTTCCTGCTCTTGTTCTGAGTTCCTGCTCCTCTGGTTGATAGCCAAAGCAAGCAAATGAATCCTGTTATGACTCCAGGAAAAAGACTTGTAGGTCAGAGTCCCTAACCTATTTGTGCCTCAGGGACATGCATTTGCCCGCTTAGGTATTTTGAGAGTCTGAAATGTATCCAACTGAGACATATCCAAGAAGGGATGTGCAATTTCTGCATGCTAACTACCTCACTGCATGAAGAAGGGATCTTCACTAAAGTAGGGCATCATGCTGAAGCTTCTGTCACAGTTCGAGTGTGACAGACTTTGGAGAACAATATTTGGGAGCCTCATCTCCCCAACAGACCAGAACAGCTGCATTTGAAGTCATATGACCATCTTTAACGGAGAGACCTCAGTCTTCAGCAGTGGCTGTGACAGATGAAAGGAATGACACCTCCAGTGCTGGCTAGGTCCTTCTGCTGTGTAGGAGGATGGGACCAGCACGGAAACAAGCTACATCTCTCAGGGAGTGTCTCCCAGGGAACTGGACAACCATGACTGCAGATGGTATCAAAGATAGCTAAAGATGACTTGTCAGTCCTGATAACTGCTGTGAAGATACATTCAACCTGCCCCGCAGGATCTTGTCAGCACTCAAACCAAGAACAAAGAAACTCAGTCCTATCTGACAGTGTAAAGCCTCCTCAAACTCTGGCTCACAAACTCAGACCAGATGCAATTTTTGGATGACCACTTTTAGGGTGGGGTTATGAAAGAGATATGATGAGACGGGTTGTTTATGTGACAGCTTTGGACAAAGTGCCTCTTGCCAAGGAATCACCCAGCTCAGGCTGAGGCTCCACCACAAGGCGAGGATGCCCGTGGCACGGAGAGGTGAGGAATGGTCCTGTGATAGGGAATAGTCCTGCTCCACTGTGGGCCACAGCTCATCCCTGTGGGAAAGCAGGAGCAAACTTCAGGCAGAGGCTGGAAGGCAGGGTGTGAGAGCTGCCGGCACACAGACTGCACACTGCGGTGGGGGAGATGCACGTGGGGCCACAGGAGATCCCACACTTGCTGCAGGCACTCAACAGGAGAACAAGCTGTTTGCCAAATGGAAGAAAAGGACGGGAAAATTATCACACAAAAATTTTAAACACAGGCAGTGGGAAAAGCATTACTTTCGTAGGCTGTTTAACTTAGAAAGCAACTCATGCCCTTGAGGCGAGCTAATTTTATTGACATTAGGAGAGATTTATTTTTCTCTCTTTATCTACAATATACAATTCAGGAATTGTTTCCTGCAGATAAAAGCCTCATTGTTATACACACAATAAACTGAAGTAAAAATTATTCATGTTATTTCCATCTCCAATTTTAATAATGATTTAAATCATCAGTAAGATAAAATCAAAGCTTATCATCTAAATCAAAATGATTGTTCATTTGTACACTTTAGTTTTCTCCTTAATAGTTTATTATTTGGTTGCAAACTGTAAAATAGACTGGCTTGCATATGAATATAGGCTTTTCAGTAAATGCTGCAGTTTGTGAGCCAAGAAGATGCCCTCATTTCAGTTAAATATGCTGCTTATCGTAGATTTGTTTAGTTATACATGGTTACTACACATTATTTCATGTGATATTGTTCTCCTATATTTCATATTAATATACAATTTAAAATTTAGGGCAAACACAATGCATTCTCCCACATCTCTTTTGAACCTTTATCTTTAAAAAGGAAATAAATCCCAGACTGGTTTCTCAGCTTTGAACGCTCAGGACATTCAATGAACGAGTGACTGCTCTTTCTGCAGGCACAGCAAAGGCTGTTCTGCCAGGAGAGGTGTAGCATTCATTCACCTGTACTTACCATTGCAGAGGTTAAACAAGGACAAAGCCCCTTAAACAAACAAATGAGTATTTTCCCTGTTTACTTTCAGTTTTTACTTTTAGCTCCAGCCCCATAATCTGGAAAGATTATTCCAAAGTAAGATTTCTTAAAACTTTCTTTCTAGTTTAGTGGGCTTTATAATTCCCTGTAGCTGCACTTTTAGAACTGTGGCTTTTTTTGAAATAGTTATTTCGTGCACCACTCACATTTCTACTATGAGCCCTCCCCTCATGAAGGAGAACATTTCCAGTAATGTCACATGAAGGCTTAATCTTGAGTTATGGTTTGGTTGAGGATGACTGTTTTGGATACTACACCTTCCCACACCTTTCATGATCATGCTTAAAAGCAGCTATTGTATACTTCCTTTGACTACTGCAGGATTTGTAGTAATATTTGCTAACTCGGAGCTATGAATGAAAGAAGACCCACCCTGGCTGTGTACCTTGTAAAAACTACCCAGTAAATCAACCAGTGGTTTATTTAGAGAGAGTCTTAAACAGCTTCTGATCCACTGAAAGGTAAATGCAAATGTTCTCTGCAAATTGTTGTCCATGTATGACAGGATGGACCAGTCTCACAGCATAGAAAATTGGTAAGATTTCCTGACGTGACCATCAAACAGAATATGCTTCTCCTGCTCTATTTCTTACCTTTATGCTTTTCTTGAACATGTAGCCTGGTGTTAAAGATCCTTTTCTAAGGAGTTCACTGAAGATAACTATTTGCTCAAAGAGAAACACTCTGCGCTCCTTTGGTCTAGACTGAACTCCAGAATCCTGCTCAGTCACATAGAAAGTGTCCTGCTGCAGCAGCTTGCCTTGAGCTGTCAGCTTGCCCTGAGAAGCAGACAAAGCACCAACATTACAAACCCTGACCCACCATGATCTCAGGAGATGGTCTGCTATGTTCTGTGCAGGCCAAGTCTTCCAAGCAGTACTGAATTCACATCAGACTTATGATCTCTAAGTTATCAAAGTAGCTATCCTATAAACCAAAAGGTCAGTTTAAGGAAAATAACAGGTTTTCTTTTTTCTCATTGCCACTGATTGTGTATATAAAACCAAAAGAAAGAAGCCTCAAGTAAGCTATTTTGCACTTCATTTCAAACACTGTTCTCATTATGTCATTTGTTACTGTAGTGCCTTAGATTCCCTCTAGTTATGGGCTCTCTATCAGCCCTTAAGCCAGTAGGCAGTGACACAACACCTCTGAAGGTGCAAAGAAACAGGATTTACCTGTTTGTAGGAATGCTACAGTGCATAAGACAGTAAGACAAACTTGACTTCAGTTTGGAGATAAGACATTTCACCAGGACTGCCAAAATATACTATGCCAAAATTGGCTTAGTTACAAACCACAAGCTGTAACCTGTGGGGTTATAAATCAAAAGTCTCCTCCTGGATGCTGTCAAACTCAGAGGGAGCTGTTAACAGGCCAATGCTTACTAACAGGCAGAGTAGACTGGTTCACCACTTATTTTGCTCTGGTAATAGATAGAAACAATGTAATTCAAACTTGCAGAAGCTTTTACAGATCTCTCATTTTGAAAACACAGTAGATAGACTGTCACAAGTTTAGAGTGAGAGGTACATCACCCCCACCTTTGAAACCTCACCAAAGCTTACAGCTCAGCACTGCATGAGAATAAGCACTAGATAAGCAGCCTGAAGTAGGGCAGATTGTAAAGACAATCACAGAAAGATAAAATTATTTCCTGTCCTAGCTGTTATTATAAGCAGGATGCAAATATATACCTCAAAGCCTTGGAGGCGGCCCAGGTTCATCATGTCATTGCAACGTTTCGGTACAAGGCACATTAATTCAACTGCTTTCTGTAAAGGAAAAAGGATGTTCTATTATCACAAAGGAATCAGAGGGTTCATAAAAGCAAAGTGCCAAACAATAGATTTCAATACCATGATCACTGCTAGCAGTTACTCACGGTGAGGCCCTCATGCACTAAAGATGCACGGTGGTCTCTAAAAGAGGACGGTGCACGTACAATTCAGGACTTTGCCTTCATCTTTTATGTCTGACTTAAGCTAAGAGAATGACCATGTTTAGAATACCAGTGGGATCTTCAGCTATTGCCAAAGGAATACTGGGGCTTTCATTCCTCCATATATATATAACATATTAGTTCTATTGTCCAGGACATGAAAACGTACCTCTATATCGGAGCACTCTAGACCAGCTTTTTCACTGTACCTCAGGAAGTCCTGGGGAAAACAGAAAGTTTTGCATTAAGGCACTTCAGAAAGAGAAAACAAAAGATGGCAGTTTGAAAAAGAAAAAGCATATTCTGCATGTGATTTTCTGAGAAGGAACTAGCTAATAGTAATAAATTAATCTTCAAAGGTTGCTGAATTTTATAAGCACTTTATAGATATGGAAAAGGGGTGTGGATGGTTCCTGAAAACATCACAGAAAAAATACAAAGTTGGGATTAGCCCTTGGAAATGCTCACTTGGTCCCTGTCTTGAGCCACAAGACCACACACGCTTGAAGATTTTTCTTCTCCTTTTGGCATTTCAGAGAACATGCCACCACCCCTTTGTAAGTGTGCAATTATCAGGCTGTGGGCTGATGGCAGCCTGTGTGGGACTAGTGCAAAGACGAGTAGAGTTGGCCCAGAGCTCCAGTACTACTGGGGATTACAGGGTACGATTCAGACACGCCTAATTTTAGCTATTACTTTGAGACCCCTAGGGATGAATTTTCAAAAATGCTAAGTAATTGGCATTGTGGATAAAGTTAGCAGAAGCCAGAGTGGTCAGACTCCTTGGGAAAAGGATTGCAGTGAGTTCCCCAAATTTTAAGACAACAGAATATCCTGGATATAAGTTTCTTATGTGAATTGGAAGAAAGATATTCAGAAATGGAGGCTACAGCATTTATCAGAAGCATGTCATTCAGCACCAAAGACAGGCTTCAGGAACACACTTGAGCACCTTTATTGAAATTTTAAAAAATTGAATGATAGTTTTCTCTGAAACTTCAGAGGAAGAAAACTCCCATTTGAAGTTTACTCTTCTCTGAAAAAAAAATAAATCTTTTTATCATCCTAAATTGCAAATTACTCCCACAGATGTGACTCTCCAGTTCTCTGGATATTTTCCACGGGACTCTTGTCACTGTAAACATGTATGCTCATGTTTAAACAGACTCCTATTTCCTCTTAATTTAGTGAGGTTATTCCTCAGTTAAAACTAGGGCTGATTTAAAATAACAGCATCTAAAGCAAGATGCAGACTATAGTTTAGTCCAAACTGTATCTTTCCACTCACCTTGAGAAGAAGCTGATATTTAGTTATTCTTTGAATGGGTTTGATCAGAAAGTCACTGATGGTTAGTCGCTGGCTTACTTCCTGTTGGACCTCCTAAAAAAGGAGGATTAAAAACAATTGCAAGCAATCACAGGGTAAGGCAGAGAGCATGACAAAATGTCTCAACAGAGACTTATTTCCACAGCAAGTTGGTCTGTTCTTAATCTTTTGTTTGCAAGAGGGAATTTGAAAGGATTTAAAAATCTGGCATATCCTATTTAGGCAAGGACTGGGTAAAAGTCATGACTGAGCTGGAAGGCGTTGGAGAGCACAGGATCCCCTCCCCCCTGAGTGACCGAGCAGGACCGCAGGGTCTGGAGACTGCTCTTTCCACTGCAGTGGGGATTAGCTCACAAACAAGTCCTGCAGAGCATGCCTCGTGCCCTTGGGTGAAACAAAACATCTTTCTCTTGTTAAACAAGCTTCTTTCACATTAATATCTAAATGTGTCTAGTCCCAAAGGTTTCTTGAAAGAGACACAGCTATTGGGAATTTATGAGAGGCACCACCCAGCTCCAACAACTTTTGCCTCCTCCCTTGGTTGTAGACTACAGATTAAAATGTCTTGTTTTATTTTGGACAGAAATCAATGCAGTTGTAGTACTTTGAGGGCTGCAGACAGTTAGTACTGGAATAAACATGTATTAGAAATTAAGAACATGAGAAGTTGAAATAAATTAAATTATGACATTTTTTCCCTGTAGCAGAGACATTAGCAGCATGTGCAGTACCAAAACCTTCTAGAGTTCATATTAGACAAACCCCACAGGCTACAGGATAGGCTAGCTGACCAGGATTCCCAGCTGTAAGCAGCAGTAGTGCACAATGAAGCATGCCTACCTCAAAGTATGCCTCATACTCGGCTACTATGTATTCTGATCGTGGCTTGTTCTGGCAATACACCACGTACATGTGCAGCCGCCGCTCCTGTGAAAGCAAGAGGCACAGCAGCCTGGTCAGGTGTTTGCTACTGTTCTGTTTTGCTATTAAAAGCTAGCAGAAAGCTGCTAGGATGTTCTGCTTGGTTTTCCTTATTTTGACTTAACTGTAGATTTAGTTTGCTGAAGTAGGGAAGCAAATTGGTAACTGGTTCTGTTCTCCATTGCTGCACCTTGGGCAAGGGAAGGTTTCCATGGGGGTAGAGAGTCAGAGGTGTCATTCCCACACTGGTAGGTCTGAGTTTTGTTACAGAGTTGTGCTCTAACTAATATATGAACACATCAGTTGTGGCAGTTGGCAGGTACCTGCCATTATTATATTTTGGCAGATGTCCTTGGCCACATCAATTTTGCCCCCAGAACAGGAAGTCTGCAAGAAGGCAATGATTAATGCCTCCATTCAATCCAACTTCCAAACAAAGATGCAGAACTATATGGATACTTTATTTTTAAATCAAATTTAGACATGTAAAAGTATCAAGCTGACACAAACAGATGTTTTGGAAAGAGTCATCACACCCTAAATGACAATTATACTGGGGACAGGTAAGCAAATAAAACTTACATGCTTGATGAAAAGCTGTGCTAAACGGTCAGGTTCTTGCAGACATTTTTCCAGTTCAGCCAGGAAAAAGCTGAAAGAAAGGACAGCAACATTTCTGAAAACTTCTTCAGGCCATCCTAGCAGCAAACTAGCTGTCCTTCAGACACTTCAGTGCAATTTTGGCTCCAATATTCAATAATAAATGAAAAGTTAAACTTGGCTTCAGCCCTTAATGGTGGTATTTCTAAAACGTTAGATGAGAGCTGTGAAATATGGATGTCTTGTCTTGCAAACTATCTGCTTTTCTTTACTATTACAGTGGTTTTGAATTTTAAAAGGTGCCAGTCACTTAATTGCAAGAGTTGCTTTACTTCACTGAGAACTCCTGAAGTAAAACTTTTCCATATACTAAAATGCTTGTGAAAACTCAACTGGAGCTTTACCAGGAGTTCTCAGTTGCATGTGCAGATTTGGAGTACTGGTCAATGTGAAAGAGATGCAGAAGTTTCCACATGGATAAATAAATCAAGATGTTTTTGCTGGCGGAGTTTTGGTATGTTCTCTTTTTCACTTTTTTTCAGTATATTACTGAACAGTATATTACTGTTAGAAATATATTGTAATTCATAAACACCATCTCTATCTTGACCTGCAGCTTTAGGGAGGTCATATATTCTAGCTTGAATGCTTATACAAAGAATATACAGGGATGCCTCAAAGTGACATAAAACCAGCTAAACTAAAGCTTAGAAATACTGGTAGGATTTTCTGACAAACCTTAACAATGCCCCTCTCCATGATCTTCCACTTTTTGCTGCAGGATTTCTGTCTCAAATGCCTCCACAGAACCTCAAAAAAAAGATGCACACTGGACAGCTGTCCCAACTAAACCTCACTATTGCTACCATCAGATACAGCTGCTTCTGGAATTCAGTCTTCTATAAATGTTGAATTCATCTGCATTTAAATAGACTTGTTGACCTAGATATGCAAAACTAAAAATAGGGAAGCCCTCCCTATGTGTTACAGAAAATTCCCATCATCACATTTAAACAATGAATGGCACTGGTAAAAACACTCCACTGCTGGTATCAACTTAATATATCATGAAGCTTTTTCTGACATTTTTTGTTTTGTGCTCACAAGGGCATCTGTCAGAACATAAGAACAGGCCCAGACCATGAGATGAGGACTTGTGGGACACATGATGGGAAGGATACTGTGTCTCCTAGGTAAGGGAAATATCCAGAGCTAATGGAAGATTCAGCCTGGTGTTCATTGCTCAAGTCTGTGCCCGCATTCTCAAATTCTAGTTAGCTGGAGCTGTGGACTATTTCTAAGTGGCAGAGTTGAAGATGTCCATGTTGTCCACAAGCAGGACATTGCTGTTCAGAACATTATGGCAGAAATGGGACAGGGTTTGAAAGAAGCCTTGTGTTTCCAGCAGCTTTTCAAAGCTACTTGTATGAGTAAGATTTTCAAGGAACAGAGTTCCTCACTCAGAGTCAAAAGCATCAACCAGGCCAAAGCGTGTCAGAGCTTTCACATGAGAAGGACCTTGAAGGCATTTCTACTTTATCACCCTACTAGTCCAATAGTACTGGCATGGTCAGCCTTTGTGATCTGATCAGCTGCACATGAAGATGTTCATGTTCTGAGAACCACAAGACATAGGAAAGAAGCCATAACTTTCCAGTGTTGCTACTGCTTATCAGTGGGATGAATTGAGTCTACAGCTGTGACTCAGAAAACACAATGATGGCAGCCTCAGTAGTTTTTTTCAGGATCCAGCAAATAGCTCACCAGCAGTAACTCTCTGGGAGCCATGTTGGGACTGCTTATGAGCAGTAGCTCAGGAGCTGTGGGTGGGCCACAGTGATATCTCCTGCTGAGCCTCTTGTTGTGGCTCCCCAGCAAGGAGCAGCAGAGCTGCTGGTAGCACCACACATAAACAGAGCAGACTCTCTTGTGTGCAGCATTTCTGTCACACTGACCAGCACTCCTGGCATGGTGTTTGAGCCAGCATAAAGCTGTATCTGTGATCAGAGAGAGCATGACAAACCTCCTCCCATCAAGCCAGGCAGTGCAAAGCTACAGCCCATCAATGTTTTTTTTCCCTGGGAAAAATGATTTTCCGTAAGACCGATGCTTTGCATCATGCAGTTGTGCTGGTTTGGGCTGGGCAGACAAAGCCCTGTATAAGGATCTAGCATATTGTGACACTGTGGCTACAAGCACATGAATTAGAACGTGTTCTCAGGATTTAAGGTAGCCATGATTAGTGAAGTTATTAAGCAGCACTTACAAACCAAGAGAGACCATTTAAAGTGAGGCAAGGTCCTTTGGAAGGTCAGCCCTGAATGACCTGCTGATGTTCAATTAAAAGCAGCTTAGACAAACAGACACCATATATCCCAATCCTTTATGGACGAGTGGTTAGAAAGGTGCTTAAAAAGAAACTAAACAAAAAAATTACTCTTTGTGCCAGTCGTAGATCTGGTGAATATTGCCAAATACAATCTTGTCTTTCCCTTTCATATCTTCAGAAACTCCTTTTTCTTCGATTCTCTTCATGAAGCCCTTTAGGATTAATGATCAGTGATTAGCAAAGGGTTCATTTGAAGGAGGAGCCTAATTACACTCTTTTCAAAGAAGCAAAAGTTCAATGTCAGGGTTTTTTTTATATTGAAAACACTTAAAATACCTCTTGTAAAATTTAAAACCAGAAACCCATCTAGATACTTTAAATTACACAGTTTGCTTAAAAGAAAACTTTAAAGGATTTATTCTGAATATCTACCATCCTTACACAAAACCATTATTAGATGTCACTGAAGTGACTAGTGCAATTAGAAGATAAAAGTTACACAAAAGTACTTTATCAAGCTCTTGGCTTCTCTGGTAAAAGGAAGAAGCCAGGCTCTGTACAGAGCACTTCGGTTCATCACCGTGAGCATTTTGTGGGAGCACAAAGCCAAAGAGTAAGTTTAAGGAGTCACATGAACAGGATTTCTCACACCTCATGAGAGTTTCCTTATAAGCCTTTGGAGCACTGCAGCCCTGTCAGGTTTGTCAGTGGTGCATGATGTGAACAGAAGACAGCACAAAAGTCTTCAAGTTTGGAAGCTGTTGAAAATCCCTGTTCGTTGGACTGATAATTCTCCTTGGACTAGTGAATGCCAAAAACACGGCTGAAAACTCGCTTTAATCACATGCCACCAGTTCTGAATCCTTGCTAGGAAAAAAACTGCATGTGAGTTGGCTCTGACAGGTGATCCCTGGGGATCAGCCAGGTCTATACAAGCTGAAGCTTAAAAAACTATGACTGGTTTTTAACAGGAAAAAAAAAATACAGACTATTTTATCTCGAGGTTTTTTGCAAAACAATAACCCACAGGCCACACACGCCTCAGCAGAGATCCAAAGCCAGCTTCTTAAAAGGTACTCAGGCACAGGACTTCAGTCCAGGTGCAGACTCAGAGTATGTGTTACCATTACTCAATATGACAGCAAGGAAAACACAAAATAAGTGGCAGGAGCGTAAGTTATTCTCCACCACTGCACTCAAGGCTGCATTACAGCAGAAAGAGTTTGTCACAAGCAGGCGAGCCAAGAAAAACCTTTGCACACTAGAGCTGAAACCTAAAATACAACATTCGCTAGATGGAAACAAAAATAGTTTCCAAAGGCATTTCTTCTTGTTTCTGTCAACATGAGAAGGGGACCATGGAAGCAGAGTGCAAAATAAAGCAGTTTGTTTCTCATGCTGTATTTTTTGTCGTTGTCACTTGTCAGCAGTTTTTTAGTAGGGAAACATTTTGCATAGCAGGGTTTGCTTCAGCTCACCTCCACAACAGTTCCCAAGTCTTTGACGTAATCTTTTTCAGTCTGTACCAGCTCATTTAAGACAAACCTAAATAAAAACAGAACACACACGTATTTGATCATATTCTTTGACGTTACTGTTTGCTCCTCTTACCACATATTACCTCTCCATAAAACCCCACCATCACCCAGGTCACATAACATGACTCCCTCTCAGCTCACTTATAGCTCAGTGGAATGTAAATGACAAAAATGTCACATTTCAGGTCAAGGTAGTTTCAATTCTCTTACACACTCTTCTCTTCATGTCCCAGAATGGTGAAAGACCAGCAGCATGACCAGCTGCCTGTACTTTGAACTACCCCTCCCTGCTCTTCCCCTCCTCTATCACCCAAGCAGCCTCTCTGATAGCAATGGAGACATGTCATGACCCATTTTGAAGGAAGCAGGAGAGGATTTCTTGCCCAGTCCCTCTAGCTTTGCCAAAGATTCAGCAATTAAGTTTTAATTTGGAAGTTTCAAACACTTAGAAAACAAATCCCCTCTCCTGTCATAACAAAGAGCTTAATTTTTCAGACTAGTTAATCAATGTGTGGGTGTCAAAATACTTTACCCTGATTTCAGAGCTAATAATCCCAAGTAGGAGAGTCATCTAATGAAGGTCTGATACATGCAAACAGCAAGCTAATAAAGGCTCCTCCCTCTGCAAGTCAAATTGACTAATCACATAATGTTCTTTTGAGGACAATTTCAAAAAGTTACAGCTTGCTGCAGACAGTTTGCCTCTCAGTTAACCAGTACACAGACTGGGCACATGACAAATAAACTCCATCTGTGCTCAAGTTCGCAAAGGCAGTAACAAGGCTAACAAGACAGAGGAGTGCTTTCATGTCTAATACCACTCTGTTCACATCAATCAGCAGACTGACCCACTCAAAATGACAGGGCTGAGGACAAACAGTGCTAAGATAAAAGTCTGGCTGAAAAATATTTTGAGAGGAAAAAAAAGTAGATGGGTGTTGCAAGGAGAGGCTTGGTTTGGAGAGGTGACTGAGAAAACGTCCTGCTCCCACTGTGTTCCCAATGTGTCCCTTGCTCAGACAGAGCAGAGGAGATAACACACATGGCAGTAAAAGGTCAAATAGCTTCTTGTTCATTTGAGAGTGAAACCCAGCCCCCTTGGCAGATGACAGGGCTGGCAGCAGCCATGCCAGATTGCTTGTGCTCTCCGAAGTGCCCTGCCAAGTGGCGTGCCCGGGTACTAAACATGCACGGGGAAAAACGCTGCTCTTTTACAAGGCAGCAGCGTGTGGCCTGAACAAGTGTCTGCTGTACAGTCCCTCTCGCTGGCTGACCTACTGTGCCCTTGTGAAAGGCTTGCCATGTCTCCTCTGCCCAGGCAGCCATGCTGGGAGGCTACGTTACAGCTCATGCCACCTCCAGCTGCACTGCTCCCCACGAACACAGAGCTGCTGAGGGAACGGGGAGAACCTCTCCCACCTGCCCACTGCCTCACCTTTGGTTTGAGTTCCTGCAAGGATCCACCTGGCCAAGCCCTGCTCTAAAAATGAAGCAGCAGGAACTTGTACATAACGCTGCAGGACACAAAGGCAGATGGGTGTGAAGTAAAAATCAGTGCAGTGACCAGGCTATCTGGTAAACAGACTAAGCCTGCAAGTTTACACCTCTATTAGGAACCAGGGTCTGCACCTCCATGCCTTACCTTAAACTCAGCATCAGTCTTCCCCCAGCTCCCCTATTCCTAGCACACAGAAAAGTTAACCTTGACCATCTCCATTAGTACTCTGGAGCCTACCTGACACAGGACCTTAGGAGTACTCCCAAATTTAAGGTTTCTAAGATGCGTGCTGCCAAAAATTCAAGTTCACACATCTCCTCATTGGATAACATGGCGCAAGGACAGGCAGTTGCTTTGAAAGTGTGCTCCTGGTTACCAGCAGGTATTGACTTCACAGCTGTATTTAAAATAGCATGAACTGGACCAAGGATAGAGCATCCTCACTTCTGAGTAAGTCTGAATATCTGGATATCTTTGTAACTCTGCATTAAATCCATATGGAACAATGCTACTCAATGAGACTACTGCCTTATTGCTCATAGAAATGCAGCAGTTAAGCCTGATGGAATAGGGGTTTCCTCACAGCAGGGCGACCTGCTGGCAGGCACGTGGTGCCAGAGACACAGGAAATTACTGCCCACGCCCATGCGAGGATTCAGCTGCAGGTCTGTGAGGAGTGGGGGTCACAGCTCAAGTTAGGAGTTCAGCCTCCTCGTATGGCTACAGAACTAAACCTGGCAAGCTGCAGAGGTACACAACAGAGACACAGAGGAGCTGCAGAGGAGACAGATGTCTTGTGCTGAAAGCCACTAGCAGGTGTTCCTAAACATCCTGGCGTTTAGGAAATGTGGATGGAGTAAGACAGTAGTTGTGGGTAACATGCTGCCAGTCCCCCTGCCAGAAGCATCACAGGCTAGAAAGCATTAGTCTACCTATACTTACGGTGACAAAGGTCTCTGCTCTGAAACTGCAACCTGCAGGTAGTTTCCAGCCATCTAATTAAAGAATTGCTACCAGAGAAACCTAAGAACCTGCAATATTGAGGAGCTTTTAGGAAACAGGCATGGGCAGAGGCATTCCCTCCAGGAAGGCTGGCAGCTGTCTACTAGAAAACTCCCATTCAGAAACGCATCCAGGAGTGTTATGTCCCTGCCTGCTGCTGGGACTTGAGGCAGACCTTCCCTGTATTGCTTCTCTGACTTCCTATGACAACTGCAGGAGCAAATGATGGCTTTCACAGACCTGAGACACTTTGCTCTTACTGGCTCTTCTGCTCTTAACTACCTCCTTGTTCTCCTCTGACTTGGTTTCCTTCCCTGCTTGGCATTCTTCCCAAATGGACTGCTCTTCTTCCATCTCTCACCTTACCACACTCCAATGAGACCCTGTATGGACTGTTACTCTCCCCTTCAACCTACCACCTGACCAGATCACTGTAGTTACTGTTATTATTGTAAGAGGCAGAATAATGAAAACAGCTACCTCAGCTCTCTTTCATGTAATTCTTGACTCTGTTTTCCCAGTTGTCTGTATCCTTCAGCTGAGCTATGCATTTAAGAAATGCTTTAATCACAATAAGCTTTGAAGGTACAGTGCTATTTTTTTGTTACATTTAAGGGAGTGTACAGATAATTTTAAAAAAACAACTTTCACGAGCTGTTGCCATTTTTTAACTTTCCTTTTATCATAAACATGAGGGTTTACCAAATGAAACATTATTTTCAGCGTCATGTTTCCACCACAAACACATCTGAATTCTGCCCCTTCCTCTGCTAATAAGTAAGGCAGGAAAAGATTCTCTCACACAAAAAATCCTAGTGGGATTCTCTGCCCTTTTCCTTGAAGGTAGCTAACAAGGTCAACCACACATCCCCCTTTGAGAGCTAATTTCACCTCTGGCAATGCAGTAGTTACCAAAGCAAACATCTCGGTAGTACTTCTGTTCAGACGCTTCTGCAGCAACAGAGTATTTGCTATCTGGGGTATAAGCTGTATATTTTAAAGGGTGATGATGAACTTCCTGGGTGTCCAAGTGCTTTTATAAAGGATTTTTACAGATTAAGAAAGACCAGAAGCAAGCAGAACAGTTTTACTCTTAGTTCCATGCTCAGTCACTGACTACAAAATATTCTTTCAGTGCAGCCCTGTGTCCTCCACGGGTGTGTATTTCAGAGAGAAGAACCAGCAAGACAACTTACATCCTGCCTCTCATTGCTTTGGCTTTTTGTTCCTCTTCAAGGTTTCGGGGGGGAGTTGAAGGTGTCATTCCTTCATTTAAGCAGCCAGTGGCATCTTTTAAGCTTCCTCGGTAAGATCCTCCTTCAAGGGTCTAAAAAAAAACCACCAGAAAACAGTAGAATAAACAATATCCTTGAACTCGAGCATCAGTGTTATCTTCAGTCTCAAGTTAGTTCTGCAGTCAACCCTGCAGTCTAAAACCAAGCAGAATATTCAGTCCTTCCCTGCAGGACTTAGTGAAACACAACCAAACTAGTTTCAAGTTGATATAAGACACCCGCCCCCCCCCCAAAAAAAATTAAAACATTAAACTAGAAAAGATGTAATTTTGCTAGAAGGTGGAAAAAGATGTTCCAGTAGCCCCAGGATGAGAATAATCTTCCAAATTATTTCAAAACAACCTGAAAATATCCTGATGTCTCAATCAGAACCAGTGTTAGGCTACACATGGTTAGTGTTTCTCTGCCACAGTCTGAATGGGGATTCTTCTTAGTAAAGTAAACCACAAAATGAAACAGAAATAGATGGATACATGGTAACATTCCACAATAATTAACATTTCCCCCAGATCCCTGGAAAGTAACTGCAATTGACCTAACAGGCTGCATGAGCGGGAGAGAAAAAATTCTCTGAAAATACATCTAACTGCATTAATGAAATAGTTTTTGTTAATCCCTTGGTGGAATAGAACTATTTTAAGTAAATTTTCTGGGAATGTCCTTCTCAGTTTCCCATGTCACAAAGAGCTCCTTCACCACTCATTCCTTATCAGGCACCCTATGAATGCTGACCATCTTCATGTAACAACATCTCAAACTGAGAAAATACCAAAACTCTCTGAAATGATTCATTAGATAAAGCTGCTTACAGAATTACAGTAATTTAATGATCACTGAGGGGTTTTTTTTGTTTGTTTTACTTTCTTCATCCTTCCAGTATATCTAAGGAAAGGAACTTTTGTAGGCTTATCATGCTCCCGCTTTAATCCTGACTTAAACTTGCTCATAGCAAGCATTTAACTAAATGAGAGGTTTAGCTTTGATACTAACATTTTTAACTGTTTCAGGGAAAACTTAAGAGAAGCCAAGGTATGAAACAGGATTTACTCCTTGTCCAACAGACATTGGACCAGACAGGGAGAGTGCACAAGACTGAAATTTTTTAACAAATTAAACCCAGAGCATTTTTATGGCTTATTCCACTCCCTGTCAGAAAGAGTTGACAAGGCAGATCAAAAGCAACACATGAGTCTTTGTAGAATTAAAGCACAGCTGTGACACTTCCAGCAGTTCTACTCCTTAGAGGGAACTCTAAGTCAGAATAGCAAACAAATTCATATGTTGGGTAGTAAAACTCCTTGCCTCAGAACAAGCATTAAAACAAAACAAACAAAACATCCCACTGTGTAAAATGCCAACAAGTCCCCAGAAATGGTACAATACTATAGCTCATCCTCTGCAGAGGCTGCTCCAGAAGTGCCTTTTGATTATGCAGCACAGAGCCTATAGGGCAACATGAGATGCAGGCTTCATCTCACACAGGGAGTAAAAACATTAGAGACTCTATTAAGAAGAAGAATATATAGAGTTAATAAAAGCACAGCAGATGAAGGTGGAAAGCAAGGAAACCAGAAACAAGAGGTAGACTTAAAAGCCCTTCCCTAGAGTCATCTTAGGCCTGTGGTGTACACAGTTTTCACAACACTAAACTTACCAGCTTACTTTTGACCAACTTTTCTATTGCACTGACAAGATCCGCAGCAGTTGGCACATCGGAGGAGCTCTGTCGAGCAGCTAGCAAAGAAGAGGACTGCAAGACACCAGGTTGCAAAGGAAAAGCAAGTTAGCAGGATGAGGAGGGTGGAGGAAAACAGCGGTCAGTGAAGCAGCTTCTGAGACAGAACAAACATGGAAGAGGAGCAGGAGGGTTAGAGGACCACAAGCATGGTCAGGTGAGTGAGTGTTGCCATATCAGACACGGAAAGAATTGCCATCCAATTCCGGTTGCACACCTCCCTGCAGCAGTTCCAAGGCTGGGAACCAGGGAACATCATCAAAGAACTAAAGTTCTTTTGCAACCAGGCTACGATACTCTTAGTATCTGTTGGTTTCTCCTTCAAAGGACATCTACAGTCTTACAGGCTCCAGAAAATCGATCTTGTTGCTGCAGATGTAAGAAATTACTCCATCCCCCATACATACATATTTAATAAGTGCAGTTAAGTACCAGGTACACATGGAATTGCAGGCAATAGGGGAGGGAGGAGGGGAGAACAAATCATTCCCCCTCCCTTCCACACACACCTACTGCAACTCCAAACGAACTCAGACGACACCTCCCACTTATGTAACTTCGGCCATCTAAGATGTAGATCTTTTCTCTTGTCTCTGTGCAATCAGTGGCAAGCAAACACCCTGACATATCTCACCTATCCTAGGTACCTGGCACAGGAGGGCACAAATGCTCTTTGGAGGTGCCCACTTTTCTTTATTGACATTAGATAGACAGTTTTCAGTCTTCCTTCTCTATGCCTGTCTGGTGGTCACACAATTACCTGACATGAGGTATATGTCTTTGGATGTGTCCACGTTCAGGTAGCCATAGCTAACAGCTGCTGGTTGTTACAAACCTCCAGAAACACCAAGACCCCTTCAATGTGCTCCCCAAGCATCCCCCATGGTGAAATATTCAGTTTTAGTTTAAGGTTTTTGCTCTATACGTGCCTCTTCTCCCCTTGGTCTTTGTCATAAGACACCTCACTTTGAAAACCCAAACTCATTTGGACAGCCATGGGAATTGGTATCTATAAGCTCACCTGTATGTACATTTCTTCTGAACAAAATACAAGGACTGACTAAAACCATAAGCCCTTTGATAAACTGCTTTTGGCAGGCTGACAAGGATTAAAGCATGGCTAAATTCTTATAAACTCTGCATTAAAATTATTAAAAAGCTTATTCATCTCCCAGCTGCTTAAAAAAGGTCTTCTGGAGAGCAGCTACTTCTGCGAAGTCACTGTGCAGGTGCCAACAAACATGCATCTGAAATTAAATAGTGCTGGGGAGTCAGATTTGGAAATGTGATGGCAGGAATTGGGCAGCTGGCCACCTCTTTATGCAGTGGGGACCCCTCGGGGAGGTTGCTCATGTTGAGTGACACAGCTCCAGGAAAATGAAAAAAAGGCAAAGGAGACTAACCTCAACCAGAAGCCTTGTGACAGAGCAGAAGTGTGAACAGCCTGCCACTCATCGTCTTGTCTTTCACAAATGATACATCTAATCAACAGTTCTAATTACAACAACAACAAAAACTACAGGTAATCAGGCTGGTAATTGAGGAATTAAGGCTGGTAATGCAGGAATCTCATACAAATATAAAAGCTCAGACAGCCTGTTTCACCCGCAATGCGGACAGACGTGCCTTGGGAAAAAAAAAAAGACCGAAAATAGAGACTTTAAAGAGATACTGGACAAAGACATAGATGATAACTGTCAAACATAACCATTCTAGCATGAGCAGTCCAATTTTTGGAGGCACTAAACAGCTGTTGTTCTCAGTTCTTTTAACTGAAATTGCTCAATATCTCCAAAAAGTAAATAACTGCAGGACTTTGAAGGGAGCATGAAACATTTGCTGCCTACAAATCTTTCAGGGTAAAATAAAACTCTTCTGTGATTGACTAGAGTCTGGTTTGTGTGGGGCAAATGGAAAAATGGTATTTCTATTTCCCAGGAAGTAAATTATGAATTTCTAATATGAAGATATCTTTCAATTTGTCTTTTTTAAGAGCCTCCAGGAGCAGTGAGGCACAATTATTGTTGCCTTGCAGACAGGCTCAGGGAAAGGTGCCACCTCCTGTACTCTGCAGACATCTGCACCTTCCACTGCTGCTGGTCCAATCTAAGCCTATGCCTGTAAGCAAGAGTAGGACATGAGCAGGGATCTGTGCCCAAATTAACACCATTAAAGAACTTTTGGCTCCAGCATGAATCAAACATTGCTAACATGGTGCTCCTGTGCCAGGGAATTCAGGAGCCATATTTTGTGTGCTTAAGTTTTTCTCCCCTGTGACAAAAAGTGAGTATGGGAAGAAAAAGAGAGAGAAAAAGAGTTTCAGGTGAATCTTCCTCTTCTCTTCTAGAAGTGAGTGAAGAAACAGGATGCCAAAACACTTCATAAAGCTTAGACAACTGGAGCAGAAAACAGTTTAGTTCCACAACGTTGGCGCTGTCAGAAACGTATTTAAGAAGTACTGAAATCACATGGCATGTTAAAAGTCAAAAATAGTGACCCAACTAAAGCAGTCTTGGTTTTGTTTAAGAGATAAAACAAAACAAGACAAAACAACCCCCCAAAAACCCAAAGAGCAAACTAACCTCAAAATAGTTAGCTACAGGCCCCAGGGAAGAAGCCAGGGGCGGCTGCTGCTGTGCTGGGCATGGGCCCAGCAGGCCGCTCAGCTGCCCTGGCCCTGCCTCTGCCCCTCGTCCCCGGCCGGCAGCACACGCAGCACTCCAGGGCAAGAGTCCACCACTCCAGCTGCTTCCTTCTGGCCTCCCCGCCACCACAATGTCATAACATTTCCTGACGGATTAGCAGCAAGCCCCCAAATCCTCTCCTCCACCACTGCTCCTTGAGTCCCAGAAATACTTGCACCCTTCTATCTCTGTATTTCCAAATTCCTGTGTGAACCTTCCCCAAGACAGTCCCAGGTTATTTTGTTTTTTGTTTTTTTTTTGGTTTTTTTTTTTTTTGTTTTTTTTTTGTTTTGTTTTTTTTTTTCTTTTCTGACAATTTATTAACCTCCTCTATCCTTGTTTCTTTGCATGCAGTAATTACAATCAGAGGCTAGAGATACAGAAGTGGCAGTGCTAAAAACAGATGTCAGCAGGAAAGCAGGAAACAGCTAAACAGGAGGATGGATTTCTACAAGGGAGACAACAGCTCCAGGAAAAGGTGGGGGAGGACATGTGCAGACAGGACCAGCACTGACTGTGAACGCAAGCCACTGTCATGGCTGTATTCACACATCGCCACCCCAGATCCAAGAGAGCAGCTGAAAGACTCGGCAAGCTAATGCACCATCTACCAGCAAATTCTGACTTAACATTCAAGAGATCTTAGCTAACAGCAAAGAACTACCACTACCAGCATGGTGCACAAAGATGGGCAGATCAAAACCTTTTCTACCTTCCTGAGAGAGGACTTCAGATGCTTTGTGGGCTTCTGAACTCACTGGAGGTGCTGGACTGACCATTCAGTGAGGATCAGCCACACATGCCAAGAATGCCAAACTAGGTAAGCTTTTCCCTGTGCAAGTATCAAAACACTTCAGAATGGAGGGTGGATGATGGGGCACAGACTGACACCATTCCTGGACCCCAATCTCACACAAAGCCTGAGTGGGGAGCCCAAGCTATGTAATCCATGGTAGAGGTGGTATTCCTGGATTCAGGCAGACTCCAGCATCTGTCCTACTCCTCGGGCCCAGGCTGCCACCAAATGCCATTTCAGCTGCTACTGCCAGACACCAACGGCACTTAAAGCAGATGTGGAGAACATGTGTTATTAGCTTGAGTGGAACTTCCGACCACACACAGCACAAGCACACGATTGACCTGTCACAAAATGGGATGCCAGGGCTAAATTGCTTATCCAGCACCATTTGTAAATCCAGTTGGTGAAAGGTATTCAATTATGATTTGCACATAGGATCTCTTATACCCACAAGTCTAGGCCCTGGATACTAGAAGACTACTACAACACCACTGTGAAATGGCTATGTGAGAAACGCACCTCAACAGCAAATAGATACAGTAGGCGAGGCCTTACCATCTCATCTTGGGTTGGATCATTGTCAAAAATCTTCATAGGAGGAGGAAGAGGTGTGTGAGACTCTTCATCTGGTTCATCTTCGCCCCAACCCTTCTTGCTCTTCTGAAAAAAGTTAAACATAATTAAAAGCAGGGACAGGTTTCTTTTATCTTTTTAGCTATCTGAGCCCTATCACCAGGCTTTGAGTCTGTTAATACTGGCACAATATTGCATTGCGTGGAGAGAACTGCAGGCAATGAGAGAGAAGCAATAAAGACATACGGTTTTGCTGGTTAATCCTGGTGCATTAGAAGAGCTACAGAAATACAGTTTATAGGTCACCCAGGCAGCTAAGGCAGTTACAGCCATCTGTGTGGTGATGGAAAACTACCTCTTAATTTAAATGAGAAAAGCTCAATAAACTGTATTCCTCAGTTAGTATCTTCTCCATTTTTGGCTTGTAATGTCTTGTTTGCTTTCTCAGGAAAGAGCCATTCTGGCAAAGACCATGCCTGCAGTGAAACTGTGGCTATAAACAGCAGATTTAACAGAAACGTGGCTGTTTCTCTGTGCATTCTCTTTCAGTAAGGAATTACCCTGCCCTGGCAGGAGAAAGGTGATATGAACCTCAGCAAGAAGCGATAACAGCTGCTCAAGAATAACTTCATTTCTATCCTTGGCAGCTTTCTAATAGGCTACTAAAAAAAAAATCTAGTCAAAGGCTAATAATATATGCAGACTTTGAAATGCTGTTCCCTCTATATTCCATTGCTCTTCGGATGACAATGATGGTTTGCAACACAGGTTTGATCTCTGTAATTTTAAATATGACTCCCTGTTCCTTCCAGACCCTACGGGAACCATGTTTACTCAAGCGTGAATCACACACCACAAAGGAGACTATCAGAGATACGGTCTTTCCTGTCACAAACACCAACACACACCTCATCTGCACTGTCTCCTTGAGGAGTGGTTTCATCTCCAGTCTTCGGTGAGCCGAGGTCAAAGCTCTTCCTGCCATCTCGCACTTTCTTTTGTTTCTTGATGTTGCTCTCGGTCTTCCCACTGTTCAGCCGGCGCACAGGACTAGTCAACCACTTCTTCAGGGTGTTGGTTGAGCGCTTGGGGCCAGGAGAGCTCTGGATGGAGTTGAGGGATGGCTGAGGTTGTAAGTTGGCCACTGAATCGGACTTGCCCCCGTTGTCATTGGAAGAGACTGAATATGCATCTGGAAGAAAACAATACAGGTGAGAGGTCATACCAGCACCTATTTCCTAGTTAGCGCCAAATGCTTGGCAGTCCTAAGCATGAAAATACAAGCTGCCTCGATGAAAAGTTTGTGACTTATGCACATTGTGCAAACTTAATTGCACACCAGAGAGAGGAATATGCCCTGGAACAGGCATTTTTCACAATCTTACTCTCATCTCATTTCCACCACACTTTATGAAAGATCGCAGACAGCAAAGTTACCTAGTTTTCGATAAAGGCCTGAACTTCATGCTAAGTGCTGAATTTCTCAGCTCCCTCCTACACATTTAATCGTGAATTGCCAGGAAGAAAATAAGTAGGAAAAGCAGATTACTACAGGAGACCCAACAGTCACCAGCACTTTGTCAGATTCCAATTCCCTAAACATCAGCTGTTTCCAGACCTCAATGACAATACTGTTAGACTACTTATTAACTTCTGAAGGTTATTTGAAACAACTTAAAATTATCTCCTTTGTCCCTGAAAGCCATTTGTCAGAAGACTTCACACCTTCCCTAGAACTAAAAAACTGGAATGAACAATTATAAGAGATGACAAATGGTTCAAACTGAAGGAAACTTCCAAGAAGGAGATACAAGGCCTGCTTAAAATTAAGAAGTATTTCCATTATATCCAATCAGGTGATTCTACTGAACTGTATCCAACTGCAATTATTGATATACATGTTCAGACTAGCACCTTAGAAATGGGTGCAACCTCCTATACTCCTCCAAAAAGCCACAGACCAAAGATGAGCCAATGTTAGTAAGTCTTTAAAACCAAAGCAAACAAGCTGCTTGAAGATTTCTCAATTGCCCTTCAGCAACAAGTGCCCTGCTTTCACCTTTCTGAAGCCATAGCAAGACAACTCCCTCTCCAGGAGCAATCAGGGCTGAGTTGTTTAATCCCACATAATTTAAGAAGAAATTTATTTATTTTTTTTTTAAACAGAGTTCAGAAATTGTCACACTCCTGTAGGGTACACTTCAGATTGTAGAGCAAAAAAGAGTCAGTTGGTGTTAGCAAATATTTTTAGATAGTTAACTCTGAAATCTTTTATCCAACCCATCAGAAAACAAAAATATAAGTTACAACACTATGAAAACAGCCTGGTGCATCCAGGTATTCTCACTTCAGCAATAAATATTGTTAGAGATACTGGGTTGAACATGCTGAGGAAGAGCTACTCTCCCAGAGAATCATCACCTACACTGTTTTGGAAGCCACCTGCATGCAGAGCTCCTACCCCATTGGGCAGAGCTGCTGCTCACAGCCAGCTACGCACCCAGCAGTGATTGCAGTTTGCCTTGCCTGGCAGCTTTGAAAATGCAGACTGTGAGAATTACAATATTTTATAATATGTTATAACTGTAGACAGCCTCAGTCATAAGTTGAACCAATAATGTATTACATACCTGAGGTTAAAAGTTAGGGTTTTAGAACATATGGAAATAATTGTAACAAGCTAGGGGAAGTCAAAGTTCATTTCCCAGACAGGAAGAAAATCCAAATCATTTGTCTTCTGACGACAGGAGCGAGCATGAGAGGGGCCGGGAGGAGGACAGATTCCAGGTGGAGCTGCTGGGGTTTTTCTGACATTCCTCCATGAGGGCAAAGTATTAGCCTTATCTCAAAGAGGCCTGGGTTTAGCCAGCTCTCGTTGGTGTTATTTCATGCACACAAAGTGGCGTTAAATCAGCTAGCACAAGATACGTGCCAGTGGCCACCTTATCTTCTACTCAATAGGCTTTAGATAGTCTCCTCTCGCCAGCTCCACGTGATGCTCTGGGCTTATCGGCCCACCTTGCGCCAGCGACGTCCGGGGTCTGCGATGGTGGTTTTGGTTTGGATTTTGCGAGCGCCCCGGTCCCCCTGCCTGCCTGGCAGCGGGGAAAG